TGTTATTAATATCTATCTTGTTCTTCTTCTTAATTTTTATCGAACATTTTTTTTCCTTCGTAATCGATTATTTTAATTTGTCGCATAATTAAAATATTTTCACAAAACTTCATTATTAATATATCTAGATATTTTATCGATTATTTGTCATTAAATAAACTAATTAAGGTTATTTTGCTTCGCTCACCGATAAACTCGTTGCGGATCCGTATGCGATCTTTCAATACCGGCGTTGAAATAACCAAACAGTTGATAAATGCCAGTAATACTGTCTGGTAATCCTCAGCCGTTGCTTTCTGCAGTTCGTCGATCACGACTCGCAATCGATAACGTTCTCCTTTACGTTCCTACGTGAAATTGATTAAAGAAAAAAAAAAAAAAAAAAAAAAAAATTCGTTAATACGATTTTCTTTCTTATATCATTTTATTTTTATTTTATTATTTTTATATTTTATATTTATCTTTTATACTATTCGATTCAAAAATAAGTGCCTAAATCTATATTATAAATGACCTAAACTTAAAGAGTTCTTTTCTTTTCTTTTTTTTTTTTTTTTTTTTTTTTTCTAATAAAATGGAACTTATTTATGAATATTTATGATTATTGTATTATAAAATATTTCTGATTTGATTTATACACGTTTAATTTATTTATAAATATAAATGCAGTTATAAGCAAAAACTTTATTAAAACGAAACGTTACTTATTTATAAATATTTATGATCATCGAAATATAATTATAATATTATTGTACGATTCTTAATAAACGCTTAATATTTATAAATTGGGGTAAGATTTTAACTAAGAAATTTATTATAATAAAACTTATTATAAGAAATTTATTAAAATAAATAATAATTATTTATGGATTAATTTAATACTTCGTAATTCGATAATCATAAATATTTATATAAATAAGTATAAAATGTTTAGAAGTAAAAATGTAGTTATCAATAAATAAAAAATACTTTATTAAACTCGTATTAAATTACGAGTAAAGTTACTATATAAGTCGTAATAAAACTATATATAATTGTAAACCTACCGAATATTTCATCAAAGTAATAATAATAATAATAATAATAATAATAATAATAATAATAATAATAATAATAATAATAATAATAAGTATTCTGATGAATCGACGAACGAATAAATAAATAAATCAGTGTCGTTTTTCCTTCAATGTAGAAGACCTTGAACCGATGACTTTTATCTAACATAAACTCAGCACGCGTCTCTTAGCAAACAGTAGACGTATACACGTTTGCATCTCAATGCTCGAAACGTTACCGTTTACGAGGCATAATTCACGAGCGAAATTTTCTAGTAATGTAAAGGACATCTCTTTGTCGTTTTCTCTTTTCTTAAAGATAATCATCACGTAGACTCTGTTCTGACTATAAAGCAGGCAAACGACAATAATGTTTTATTCAAATTATATCGTTTATCATTGAAAAATTTTTAATTTATTTAAACTTAACGATCAATTATTTTCTAATGTATTAAAAGTCATGTAATAGAGATAAACGATTAAGAATATTAATTATTTTTTTATATTCGTTAAATAAGCTCGAACGAACTAATAGAACGAGATAATAATATTGTAGTAGGTATGATTTACCTGATACGTGTGAAGCGTATCGATAGCACGCTGCCTACCATCTTGACTATAAACGCAGAGCGCCGAGAGTAATTCAACGACTTGTTTCTTAACCGAAGTACAGGCCGTGTCCAATGCTGAAATTGCGACGTATGTATGTATATCTATGTATGCATCTATGTATGTATGTAGGTATATGATTATCGATCCTTCGTCAAGTATTTCGAAAATGCGAGAGGATGTAGTAACATGAGAGAAGAAACGTGAAGAGGAATTACCCGAAGCAAGTTTTACGCAATAGTCAGGATTGTCCACGATATAGTCGAGGCCCACGTGCGAATCCATGTTGACTCTTAGAAGAGTGTTCCTAATCTAAACAAAAAGAAAAAAAGAAAAAAAAATTATTCAACGAGAATTAACATAAGTGTGAAATATTTTGATTTGTTTTTGTTTTTTTTTCTCTTCTCTCTTTTTTTTTCTTTTCTTTTCTTTTTTCGTAAATAGATACATAAAACAAAGTGTATACGTATAATAAGATTATTAATATTTTATTAATATATTTATATGATTAATAATAATAATATATTTTATGATATATGAGATATGTATATATATATAATATTTTAAATATTATATCAAAATTATAATAGATATTATACGGATTTGATTATTGTTACTTTATTATCACGTTGTTACAATAAATATAATAAATATAATAATGAAAATATATTAAGAAATATTATAGGAAAAAGTGTATTAATAAATATTATTTTAAACGCTTTAAACGGATACGTGGGTGATTTATATTAAGACAAAATTAAAATAAAATCAAAATATAAATCAAAATATAAATAAAAAAAAAATATATATATATATAAGTTAAAAAGGAAAATTCCCATAATATAACAAAATATTTCACAACGAAGTAGATAAAATGGTCCTTTATTATAAGAGATGATTTACGAGGTCGCTTTGAAAGGTCTTCCCGACTATGGTTGTTCGAACGATCGGAAGATATTACACGGCAATAAAGGTCGATGTTCCGGAGAGACCATTAATATTCTAATAAAATTCTGGCGAACGTGGGGTCGACGATATCGCTTAATTGGTCATTAACATTCTGCCGACAATTAAATCGCCAATTAAAAATATACACGTCAATGGTCGGTAAAGTAAATGGCATCTCTCATTATATTTTCACGTATTCTTTCATTTCCTTTTTATTTTTTTTTATTTTTTCGTTTTTAACATCTTCATTAAATAATCTTTCGGACAACGCATAAACGTACACGTACACGTATACTCAAGTACTGTCCACGTGCTCATGGACGGATTCGAAGTGTAAAATAAGTCGAAAGGCCATAGTGAATCTCGAGGATTCGTCCTCGAGGCGAACCAGAAATCGAGCTCTCGATTGTACGCATAAAACGTATTTTTCCAAGCACCTCATTGCTCTCGTGCCATTTTTAGACGGCGACTTGCACTATGATTCATAACGTTGGTCATGGAAAGCCTTAGCTGGAGTGTGTTTGCCACTCCAAAACTCTTTAAAATAAAAAGAGAGCGAGAGAGAGAGAGAGAGAGAGAGAGAGAAAAGTTGATTCGTTCGAAGGAATTTCCGTGTCGATGGCCATTTTCGTCGAACAAATATTATATCTATGTATATATGCATTGGTACATATATCCATTTACCATTTGAAATTCCTATTTTTCTACGTATCCATATTCTTTTATCTATCTATTCTTCCATAAGCGATAAATTATCCTGACAACAATGATCCTAATCGAGAAATACACATAGCGTTAGTATAAATATTAATAAGAGATCGATAATAATTTATGAAGAAAAAAAAAAGAGATCGAACTATCTATCCGTGTATTCATGTATTTATGTATAATATTTACGTAAATAAATATATACTTATATGTACATGACTATATTTTATATATACTACAAACTTATATATATATATATTATATACTTAAATATATGTGATTGTATATACGTAAATACGTAATAAATAAATATCTATGTGTATTTATATAAATAAATATATATATATATATATATATATACGAAGTAAATAAATAAATATGTATGTAGATATAGATAAACGAAACAAAATCGTGCCTTCGAGTAATAAGACTTTTGTGCGTTGTGCGAAATGTATAAATGATTTTTAAGGGGGATAAGCGAACAAGGAGCTTCTCATAAAACGTCGTATCGCCGTAAAAGAAAGAAAGAAAAAGAGAGAGAGAGAGAGAGAGAGAGAGAGAGAGAGAGAGAGACCAGTAAGATCGGAGAGTGGAGTTGAGGTCTAGGTTGGACTAATATACAAATACACAACACACATGCATATATACAAACATATATATGTCTATACGGAGAATGTATAAGCATTAACACATACATACATACATAAATACATACACACATACATACATATATACGTATAATATGCGTAACGCACATACATACATACATACAAATAAAAAGCGTACGAGAATGGAGTAGAAGCACGTGTGCATGCAAGTGTCACGTGTATGTATGTATATGTAGCCGCTTAACGCGGGTGGATTCGCGCAAGAAGGAAACGTATTACGTACACTCGCTTACTCGCATGTAATCTGCAGGGGCGTAGGAAACATCATCTAAAATCGAGGTCGTATGTATGTACATATATATATATATATATATATATACGTATTTACGAAGAAGAGATGTCTTCTTCTTAAGTAGTCTCTGCCTACGTTATCATCCCGACTGAAATTCAAATCTTTAGTTTTTTTTCTTCTCGCACTTTTTTTCTTTTGCTATTTTTTTTCTGTTGTTTTCTTTTTTCTTTTTTTTCCTTCTAATTCTTTTTTTTTTCTTTTCATAATTATTTTCTTTCCCCACCTCGTTCCCCAGAACATCGATCGACCAATAAAGTAAAGAAGATATCTCTTATCAAATTCGAATTGAAATCGTTTTGTAGAAAATGAAAAAGGAAAAAAAAAGAAAAAGGAAAAAAGAACGGAAATATATATAACGCGAGATGTATAATATTTTATGATCGTTGTCTCATATCAGCATTGAAATAAAATAATTTTCTTAAAAATCCTTTCGTCAAATTAAATCGTTTCCATTTATGGGACGGACGATCGTCTCGAGGATCTTTTATTCGAATATTTTGGTACTTTTCAAAAATTTGACGCTTCGTAAGGATAATAAAGAGTAAATAAAGAAACAATGAGACAGAAAGAGAGAAAGAGAAAGAAAAAGAGAGAAAGAAAGAGACAGAGAGATACAGAGAAAGAGAGTGAGAGAGAGAAGATAACGAAGAAGTGAGTGGGAGAGAAAGAGAAGGCATCAGTAAGGGCAAGAAACCAACAGGGAAAGAATGGTAGGAAGGGAAGTCTCTCTGAGAAAAGACCATAGGATTGCGTCACTGAACGCGTGCACATACCTCTAGTCATGTTTAAAAATAGATTTCTTCGATATTAAGGACCGCGAGATGCAAAAGAGAAAGAGAGAGGGGGAGAGAGAGAGAGAGAGAAAGAGAGAGAGAGAGAGAGAGACGAAACTCTCGTTTGATTTCAATCGATTTATTTACGATTTCACTAGTAAGCCTGTTGATGCAAAAGAGAGAGATAGAGAGAGAGAAAAACTCTCTCGTTTGATTTCGATCAATTCATTTACGATTTCACGAGTAAATCTAACGATCCAAGAGAGACAGAGAAATTCTCTCATTTGATTTCGACAGATTCATTTACAATTTCACGAGTAAACCTGGACCGAGTAGGCCGGATGCTGTACGTTCGTGTCTTATACTTCAGAGAGGTAAACGACACCAAACGTCTGAGATATCTAAATCGTTATCTTGCACCGGACGCGAATAGTAACGATCGTTTGTCTGATTCATACTTTGTTCTCTCTCTCTCTCTCTCTCTCTCTCTCTTTCTTTCTTTCTCTCTCTATTTCTCTCATTTTCTCTTCCAAGTACACTGGCAATTCCTCAGGAGCTTCCTGTTATTTCGTTCCTACCGAGCTTCGACCGACGACGACAACGACAACGACAACGACGACAATGTTACGTAGCTCATGCGGAGTGTGACCATCTTAGGAAGGCCAAGATGAAAGGAAATAAAAACGAATGGAACCATTTTAATCTTTTTTCTCTATCTAACGTAAGATTAGTAAGTAAAATTATCTTTCGGATAAATTTTTTATGATGATGATGATGATGATGATGACGATGATAGTGATAATAATAATAATAATAATAATTTCTTCTTCTTCTTATTGTTGTTGTTGTTATTTTTATTATTGTTATTAACTATTATACCAATAATAGTCGCCATTATCTATTATTATAATTAACAAATATAAATAATATATTAATTATTTCGCGGGGATGTTTATTGTAATATAAATGTATAATAATTTGGTCTCTTCTTTTTCTGTTTCTCTCTCTCTCTCTCTCTCTCTTTTTTTCTTGCTTCCTTCGGAGTTCCTCGACGACGAGTTCTCGCAATGACTTTTTTATTCTCAAGGACGAATCATTTTATCGAAGAGGAATTTAAAAGTTTCCATTAAGATAAGAGAGAAGGAAATTGTTAATATTAATGATACAAGAAACGAAAATAAATATTATTTCTAAATTACAAAAACGAAGAGATAATTTCATTTATAAAATATTCCGATTGACGCGTTGACAAGATCATGATAAAAAAAATAACTACAAGTAAAATTATAAACAGAATAAGATGTCTCGATTAAAAAAAAAAAAAAAAAAAAGAAAATGAAAGAAAAAAAGAAAACCAGAACAAGACAAAACAAAAAAATCGACAAACAAACAATAAGAATAAACGAACGAACGAACGAATGAAAATCAAACGAACAAAAAATAAAACAAACAAACTAACAAATGATAAATGACATAGAACGAATTGATAGATTTGTAATTGGCTCTCGACTCCAGATCGTCCCAAAGAAAAAAGAATGATAAAGAAACAGTTAGGTCTTTCTCTCTCTCTCTCTCTCTCTCTCTCTCTCTCTTTCTCTCTCTCTCTCTCTCTCTCTCTCTCTCTCTCTCTCTCTCTCTCTCTTCTCTAACTGTTAAGATCGTACGAAATTGTATTTGACTGTATTAGACAGAACGAATTACTAATCGTAGGAAGCAAACAGGCAGGCGCAACAAGCGAACATGCCATACGTGTAAGTACATACGCTGAGGGTTCGCATTGAACGAGCTCTCTTTCTGTCTCTCTCTCTCTCTCTCTCTCTCTCTATATATATATATATATATATATATATATATATATATATATATATATCTTTCTCTCTCGCACATTCGCGTGGCCAACGTAGGATACCATATCGGGCACCTTGTTGACCTCGTCTCTCTTCTCTCTGTCTCTTGGAGCATTCCCGAGAGCACCATCTCGTTCTATCTCGCTCTCTCTCTCTCTCTCTCTCTCTCTGTCTTTCATTTTCTCTTTCTCGCCATGAACGAATAGTCGGACTCCTTCTCTCGCGGACTTCTTGCCTTCCCACATCTTTCACTCGTACGACAAAAGGGTTTTCGGCTGTTTCTCTGTCACCTCGACTATTTCGTATTCAGAACAGATGATCTCTCTCTCTTTTTCTATCTCTCTCTCTCTCTTTCTCTCTCTCTCTGTTTTTCTCTGTCTCTCTTTTTTTTTCCTTTTTTTTTTTTATAGACATGGCGCCAAGAAGCTGGAACAGATCGATCGATCAAAGCTCTGAATCATCATCGTCGTAGTTTCGCAGAATATTCAATTCCATGAAAATTGTATATAGTTAAATAAGAGAGAGAAAGAGAGAGAGAGAGAAGACTCATTATTACATCTTAACGTAAACTTACAACTGTGCTCTTCTCATATGTATATATATATATATATATATATATATATATATATATATATATATATGTATGTATGTATGTTTTTCTGTTATGTGTGCGATAGTTATGCCTACTTTCTTGATATAGGTACATTCATGTTATGTACATTCTGTATAGATACGTGTTTATGTATCTATGTATCTTTTTCTTTTTTCTTTTTTTTTTTTTTTTTTTTTAAACGTTTCAGGAAGAAGGAACATATATCCTTATTAGGGATACCATGAAATAAACGAAAAAGGAACTACCGTTTTGTGATTTTCCATAAAGTTTCAATCCAACGACGACGAATGGAGATAAGAAGAAGAAGGAAGCGAACGAAATACGAATTATTCTATAGGATGGAAATATGGGAATAGTGGATAGATAGACAATCCATGTGAGCTCGAACTAATATGGGGATTCGTCGCTCTCGAACGGTGAATAATACGCTTCTATATCGGGAAGCAGCAACCAGGGGCGGCAAGAAGGCCATTAATGTTCTAGTAGCCTCTGTTGGCTCACCTCTCTTTAACATTTACGGGGTGTCCTTAAATGAGCCAAAATCATGACTTTCCAATTTTGTATTGCCCGACTGCTATTATTAGACTCATGGTTACGGTTTTCTTCTTCTTCTTCTTCTTCTTTCTTTTTTATCATCTTTTTCTTTTTCATTTTTTTTTTTAATTTATTTTTTTTTTATAAGGAACGAAAGATTTCTCTCCAACAAAGGAACGATTTCTTTACCTTTCATTTTTTTTATTTTTTTGAAATATAATTCGTTGAAAAAATTTCGATTGTTCGTCATTGAAGTAATCTTTAATCCGTTCTATTATAAGTTATAAAAGAAAGAAAAAGAAGAGAAAAAAGAAAGAGGAATAATTGAAAAAATTGTTCCCCCGAACTTTTCCTTTTTCATACTGGGACGCACCTGCGCTCCTCCTCCTCCTCCGTTTTTAACGAGGCTCACAGGGCTCACTCGAGTCAGATCGATGTTTTGATTCATTCTGCACCAATGCGACCCGGTCGCGGTTACCTTGTCGCAACGTGGTCATGGCCCCGACTGGATGTGGATAGTGGTCAGGATCGTCCCCCCTTCACTTTTACTTGTATCTATGACACCGAGTACTCTTCGAGCACACGCGGATCATACTTCTGACAAGGCACGAAAATTGTATACGAAAAGGGGGGGGGGGGAAGAAAAAAAAGAAAAAAAAATGAAAATGAGATTCATGATTGTATACGAAAGATAGGGAAAGAAGAAAAAGAAGAAAGAAGAAAAAGCCGATGGAATCGTCCAAAAAAAAACCACAAACTTTTGTTTTAGGCAAACTTCATTCGATGTTTCCCATTGAAAATAAAAAGAAAAAAGGACAATAAAAAAAAGGAAAAAGAAGATGAAAGATAAAAGATAAAATAATTTATCGTTGAACAATTTGACGACGTTACCTTTAGATAACGCTTATAAGTTTATACTCGTACCCACGTAATAACGATAATATTATAGTCTCTCTTAGAGCATAGGATCAAGCGTAAATAACAGGCGAATCACTTTAATACAACTTTGCGATGCTCGTTGACTCACGCTCGTCGCATATTCAAGTGTCGCCCGGAGGTAAGTAAGTAAAGGCATTTAAGACTGATGCAAATCCTTTCGTGTGAATCTATACAATTAATGATAGATTTTTCCCTGTCGACAAGTCTCTATCATGAAATTTCTAGATCATGAACAGGTGTTCTTATAGAATTTTCAATTAATCCTTACTTCCTTGCGACGAGAGAATTAATCGAGTTCGTTTAAATGTATATTATTTTATTATTTTTTCTTTTTTTTTCTTCTTCATTTTTATTATAAAAACTTTTTTTTACAAACAAGCCTATCCAAAAGATAATTACTCCCAAAGTGGATCATCACGATGTGTTTATCGTAATAAAAATGAAAAACGAGAAAAAAAAATTCTTTTTTTCTTTTCAAGATAAAAATCAAGATTTTTTTACGATCGTACACTTAAGATGTGTCTTCTCATTTCTCGTAAATATCCTACAATCGAATCGCAAAGCGTGAGAAGAGATCAGCAGGTGCTCCGTGGGTGGGCACCTGCACGATACGCGGAGTCAGCTTAAGCGTACTATCATGAACGAGAAAAGAGACGTTGAAAATTCGATAAGAACTAACAGAGAAGAAAAAAAGATTTTGAGTGATACCTTGGTTTTTTTTTTGTTTTGTTTAGTTTCCTCTTTTTTCTTTCTTTTTTATTTATTTATTTATTTTATTTATTTTTTTTTTTTTTTTTTCATTCTTTCCTCTCACCTTCTTTTTTCTTCGCTCGTCGTCGGGAGAACGTGTCGACTATCGAGACTGACATCCCGATGTCGATATTCGCGCACACAACACTTACACTTTTTCCGCCAGGAACGTTTCGCGGAAACTGCGTTTCAGGAGCGCGCAAAGTGCCGCCGCAAGATCGAGCGGCGGACCGATCTCTCGCGCATGCGCCTTTAACTATCTCTAATATCTCCCCACCATTTCCTCTTTTGGCGGGTCCGCTTAAGTCCCTTTTCCATTTCTCTTCGAACACTCGGCGTTAATTCACATTATTTTCCCTTGAAATTATCATTCGTTTGTATTAATTTTTTTTTCTTTTTAATATTGTCATCGATTTTCTTTCTTCTCTTTCTTTTTATTCTATTAGCGATTTGTTTTTTATTTTCTCTTATTTTCTTTTTTTTTTTTTTTCTAAATCTAAAATCAAAACTGTTAGGACTGTAAGAACAACGTACACGTAGGGATTATATATAAATAAAATTGTGTATTGTAATATTGTTGGGAATATACAGTCAATCAACGATTTTCTTTCCAATTTTTTATGCGACTCTACTGATATTTAGTTAATTACTTTGTTTTGTTTTTGTTTGTTTGTTTGTTTGTTTGTTTGTTTGTTTCTTTCTTTCTTTCTTTCTTTCTCATAGAGAAATTAGAAACGTTGATGAATATTCGATGGCTGAGTTGGTTGGGCGGTTGAATATACCATTGCGGGTGGTTGCTGATGGGTCATAGCATGACTCTGATGTTGATGGAATTCTGGAGCCCCATGGGGTCCGTTTAGCCTCACACGTTTTGCATTCTGTCCGTGATTGTGATCGCCATTTCCTTGCTGCTGTTGATTTTGTTGCTGCTACGTTTGTAATATAATTGTTTATAATAGTCGGAAACTTTCGAAGAGATGTTATTTTAAAATATGATTACCGTTTGCTGTTGATTCTGCCTTGCTTTATTTTCAGTCTTTTCCTCTGTGTCATCGTCCGTAAGGAATTCTCTCTTTGGATACGGAATAGGACATCCCGCGAATATACTACAATATCAAAGATCTTAGGTAAGATATATTTTTATCGTTATAATAGCAACAGAAAGAAGAAAAAGAAAAACAAAAAAAAACGAAAAAAAGAGAAAGAAATGAATAATACTCCTGAGTTGGCAGTGGCTCCTCTTGAAAGTATGCATCCTGCATAGAATGCTCGGACGTGATTCGTTTGTTTGGATCCATCATTAGCAACTTTTGTAACTAGAAGTTTAATGAAATTAATATCATAAAATTCTTATATATTAATGATTAACTGATATTTATGTATCGATAATCTTTTGATATATAAATTTGAAATATATAAATCATACTCATACCAGGTTAAATGCCTTGCTATCGGGTTTGATTTTATGTCGATCCATATACTTTGTTAATGAACAATTCGCATAGCTAAAAATGGGATGAAAACTTCCTATTAACATCTGTTTACAACAAAAGTAAACGTTGATTGTATGTTTAAATTATCATAAATCTTTTTTGCAATAAAATACATACTTAGATCTTTTAAAATCTTTCAGTAACGTTGGATGCTCTGGCATCTTTTTAATATCTTCCCAATCTTTCTCTAATGGAAACCCCATAACATTAAATATCCTATAAAATAATATACAAAACATCAATATTGTATTTGTGTCAAAATGATTATTTATCATAACAAAATATAGCTAACCTATCTAATTGGTCATGATGGTATGGATTACTTGTTTTAATATCTTCTTGCCTACAATGAAAGATAGGTTCACAGGTTAACAGCTCCGCGAATATACAACCAATAGCCCATATATCTGTAATATTACAAATTATTTAATATTAATCAATATTATCGGATTTAAAACTAACTTAAAAAGTATCCAAACATACCTATAGCTTTTGTATAATGTCTAGCACCTAACAGTAATTCTGGTGCCCTATACCAGAATGTTACTACAACAGGATCTAAATCTGCTAATGGTTTTAAAGGAGCATTAAATAATCTAGCAAAACCCATGTCTGCGATTTTGACACGTCCTCTTTCGTTTCCTTCTCCCATTACTAAAATATTCGCTGGTTTCTGAAAAAAAATATAAATATTATATGACTGATAATTAAAATACAATTTACAGAAAAATCTTATTGATTTAAATAATATTTACCAAATCTCTATGAAGAACCCAGTTGGAATGTAAATAATGAATGCCATCTAAAATTTGATATAATAAGGATTTAACCATACTTTTTGGTACCATTACTGGTTTTTTATTTGCCTTTGCTGCCCTATTAAATTTAATAATATGCTGCAAATAAATCATTCTTAAAGTATATACTCAAATTTATTAATAATTAAAATTTGTAAAACTAGAAAACACATACCCAAAGATCATGTTCTGCGAAATCAAAGAGTAACCACACTTTGCGGTCATTATGTGACAAGAAAACGCGTATGAGTGTAATGACATTGACATGCTTTAATTCCCTGAGTAACTGTAAAAAAAAAAGAAAAAAAAAAGTAAACGAATAGTTGTTTTATATTTACCAAATATTACTAAATTAATTCAACTAAAACATATACTTACAACAAAATAAAAGAAAATAATAAAATATACTTACAGCAATTTCCCGACATGCAGACATAGATAGACCTGTGCCTTCTATTTGTTTCAGGCCAAAATCTTTAGTGTCAGGCCGAGATTTTAATTCACTATCGGGTACACTATTTTTGGCATAGTAATGTTAAATTATAAATAATTGATTCAGAATTAGTAAGTTGATTATGTAACTTGATAAAAAATAATTGATTAGTTTAAATCATCTCTGTACATGCTTAAGAGTAATATACGTACAGAAGATATAAGATTAATCTTTTTTTTCCAAATTATAGTTAAAATATTTGATACATCTAAAAATATTTTACACAATGAAATGCATATATTTCTACAGCTTGTAAGATAGTTTTCACATATACTTTTATAAACATATCATAAAGCTAAATATATTGAAAATGTCCTTTAAAGAAGTATCAATGTCAATGAAGAATTAACTTTGAATACAAAAGAATGTAAAATCATGAAATAGCCATTTTGAAAGAACAAGGTAAAGGAAAATTTGAAGTCGCTTTTACATAAATTGTTTACTAATGTTTACATCCAAGAGATTTATTATCATAAATAAATCATTTTATTTCATAAGAAAGGATGAAATGTATTAAAAATAATATGATGTTTTACGAAGAAAGATTAGGTTAGGTTAGAACACTAACCCCTCTTTTCTACGAGCTTTATAGACGTGCCCGTATGTACCTCTTCCAACCTTACATCCTTCAAATTCAAAAAGGTCCTCGACTTTAGTCCGATCCTTCTGTGCTTTCATTTTAAATTCGTAATCCATCATGGTTAATACTATCAGACTAATTATCAACTATAAGCTAACATCTTTAACTTGCGTCTGCACCCGTAAACGCGTACGAAATCAGAAATATTTTGCGCAGACCAGAAAATACATATCTCAAATCTGATCCACTTAACGTTGCATTGTAACACGCTACTATTCACCACTTTGCTGTCACTATATGAACTTATAATTCGTGATGCCAACGCAGGAAAATTTTGGCGCTTGCGTAGAGATTGCGTCACGTGTCTGTTAGTTCATTGCGCGGTAAATACAAAAGTGAAATTTGAAAATATTACTATTTCTTTACATTTACAAATTTTTTCTGTTAATTTAATATAAAAAAAATCATTTGCATTTTAAATAGTCAATATATGGATAATTAGTTCCGTTGAAATACAATGATAAACTTAATACTTTAATGACTTGTATTTCTATATCAGAAATAGGATAGAAAGAGAGAGAGAGAGAGAAAAAAAAAGAAATCGCTGTAAACCGCTGATATTATAAATTTCCTTTAAATGATAAAATTATCAAAATCCTAATATAAGAAAGTATAGTACTCCATAAAAAAAAAAAAACAATTAAATTTATTTCGAAGAAAAAGGTTTAAAAAAATCATCGTTTTAATATCTTTTATTGTCCTTTTATAACATAGTGCACAATCGATAACATTTTTTTTTACACAATCCAGCCGCCAAGAATAAGATCTGTTAAAAGGACATATAGACATAACTAGTAATACACAATTGATTATTAATTCGATAGTAAAGATCGTAGAGATACATTGGAACGATATCAACTGGAACTGACAATAAAGATCGTAAACCGTCGATAAAACGGTTATATTTATGTACATATGTACGTTTTAGCAATACTAATAAAGTTTAATAGTAATTAGTCGTTTGACATTAATAGAATTTGTTATTAGTGAAAATATTCGATATTCGAGTAAAAGTTTTAGGCGAATCTAAGATCCCCAAAGATATCATTTTCTGAATGAAATCGAATGTCTATATTTTTGATATATCATTATATGTAAATATATTAACATTAGATACCTTTCATGATATAATATATACTACCTCTTGTAGTTCTCATTTGTTATTTTATTTTTCCCCTTTTCTTTGTTCCTTTACCTTTTTTCTTCTTTTTTTTTTTCTTTTTTTTTTTAATACGGATCACAGATATGTCGTTGTTCTTAGAAGAAAATAATAAATGGCGGTGGACCAAACGAGCAACATGGCAAAGTTTATCCATGGATCGAACACGTGTAGGCAGAGAAATTGACATCTTATGCGACATAAATTATATTTCTTTAATCTAAAGTCGTCGCATAAAATGTTGTTATTATTTATATGAATTAACAATTTTATTAGCAAAACGAGAAGATAACTTTGGCTTTAACAGGTATCCATTCGATCATCAAAATATCAGATTGACGATCGATAATAAGTTAAGAATATTTACAAAAGACATCTTTGATAATTCTCGATCCGTCTCGATGATCTTCAGTATCTCAAAATCAATTGATACTGAGTTCGATCATATAAAAAAAAAATAAAATAAAATAAAATAAATAAATAAATAAATAAATAAATAATAATAAGAAAAAAATACAAAAAATTTGTCAACGATATCGTCAGAATATCTCAATCGTCGACGATAGACGTATGGCATTTTTCAACAAACGTTTCTTGTTTCTTGAAGTCGATTTAAATATACAACATTAACGCAACTTACTTTCGTAAGGTTTAATAATTCGAACGAAATAAAGAAAAAAAGTTGTATTATGCAACAACCACTTGAATGGATGGTATATTCTTCTACAACGATACAACATTGCTTAACTACATAATAACAAACACGATGTCAATTCGCGATGATCATGCGATTCGTACTTACATACATATTCCTTTCTCTTCGAGGAAGTCGATTTAATCTAAGTTTCTATAAACTAATCCGCCCGCGTAGTGTCGACAAGATTTTCTTGTTTTGTTTTTTTTTTTCTTTTCTTTTCTTTTTCTCGAGGAAGAACATTCCTTCGTCGAGATTAATTCTTATTCGTAATTCGTTTTACTTTGAAAAGTATAAGACGAATATGTTGTATTTACGTGTGTGTCGAAAAATACGCGAAGTGTCGAGAAGGTTTACTTATTTTTTTTTTTTTTTTCTTTTCTTTTATTTTTTCTCGAGGAAGAACATTCGGTCGTCGAGATCAATTCTTATTCGTAATTCGTTTTACTTTGAAAAGTATAAGACGAATATGTTGTATTTACGTATGTGTCCGAAAAATACGCGAAGTGTCGAGAAGGTTTACTTATTTTGTTTTTTTTTTTTTTCTTTTCTTTTCTTTTTCTCGAAGAAGAACATTCGGTCGTCGAGATCAATTTTGATTCGTGATTTGTTTTATTTTAAAAAGTATAAGACGAATATATTGCATTTACGTGAGTATCTATTTTTAATGTCACGTTATCGATATCGGACAAAATGTTCAACCAAAGAAATCTGTCAGAAGGAAACTAAGGAATACTACGATTATATAAGCGATTTAATATACTAACTACGATGCTTATCGTTAGAAGTATGCATCAAAATGTTGTCCTTTTTTTTTTCTTATTTCTTTTTCTTTTTTTTTTCCTTTTTTTTTTTCTTTTCTTTTCTTTTCCTTTTTTTTAATCTACGCATTTTCTCCGAGGAAAGCATTAATCAGCATTTGTCAAATTTTCGATGGATCCTTATGGATTACTTATATACTTCGCTTAAATCGCGTTAGTACTTCGTTTCGGTTTTCCTTTTTTTTTTGTTTTTTATTTTTTTAAATACTTGGTCTCGCTGACGATAACAACGGGAATTAGATATGACATGATACAAAGATCGAACTTTTTTTTCTCGAAATTTCTTCTTTCACATTTTTTTTTCTATTCTTTTTGAAATGTTTCTCGTACTCATTCTCGTACAGGTTGAATTTCTATTTAAAGCCAGAAAGAAAAATAGAAGAGACAAATCCATCTTCGTTGACCTGTACACCGACCGACGTTCAAATATATTTTTCGGAATTAATATAATTAATTATTAAAGTTATTATGGTGTTATATTCCTATCCTCTTAAATTTTATTGCAGAACATCCTAAACTTTTACATATACAACGTTTAGTGTTTTATTATTTCTATAGAAATTCTATAAAATTGTCGTCATTTTTTTCTGCGATATCATTTCCTTTTTTCCTTTTTCTTCCTTTTTTTTCAATTATTCAATTAACTTTTATAATTAATTTAGTTATGAAATGTTTGAATGCTCGAAAAGGAATAATTTGTGTTATATTAAACGTCGATCGATTCACAATGATTTTTATTTCTTAATTTCTAATAATATATATCATATATATATATAAATATATATATATATATATATATATATATATATATATATATATATATATCTGTTTAATTGCAGGATAATTTTGTTCAAGTCCATCTCATTTCATATTTTCATACTTTTTTCGTTAAATTATAAAAAAAAATGAAAATATTTATAATCATTTCGTTAAGTAGTGGAATATAAATGGTATGGTTGAGTATATAAAAAAAAAAACAAGAAATTTAATTAAAATCCGCTTGTTTTGGAACGTATACAGCAAGAATGATAAAAATAAATGTCATTAAGAATTATTAATAAAATAAAAAGAAATAAAAAATGAAAATAAATAAAAATAAAATCCTTTAAAAATATATTATAGCATTACAACGTTTAATAATATATCCTCTTTCATAATATGTTATTACAATTGATCATTTTTCATTGAGTGAATTTGACCTTCCTTCTAATAAATGAAGAAAATATTTTACAAAACTTATAACGTTTATTAAAAAGAAAAACATACGATATGTTGGATAATTAAAAACTGGTCGTATGAGAAACGTACATCATAGACAGTTTTCTTTCCTTTTTTTATAAGAGCCGTAGGTTTTAGATTCCTACATTTTATTTTGTACTCGGTTTTTACCGCCGGGAAAAAACGGTATGACTTTGGTAAAAAATATCGCTGTTATTTGTGTTTTTATCAAACACTCCTCTTCCCCCGCATCTTACATCATCCTTTATTTCCTTCGTCCTTTTTGTATGAAATTAAAGAAGGAAAGCATTATCTTTTAAGATGTATATGTTTATATATGTATGCATGTATGTATGTATGTATGTATGTATGTATATAAGTATGTATATATATATATTATATACTCATTATCACGTGTACGTGACATATAGAATAATTTTGTCAACCTTATACACAAATTTCTTGTCTTGTTGACAAGATTAATAAAACTTATCAATGGACTATATATATATATATATATATATATATATATATATATATATATATATATATATATATATATATACATATACATATATATATATATATATAAAACACCCTTGAAAAGTTTTAAAATCTTCGAGAAAAATTCCTCAAGTTAACCATTCCTTTTCGATCTTACAAACAACGAATGTCACCTTATTTATATATAATTCATAGTAAGGTTTAAGCGATTACTCCATCGAGGTTTGTACAATACTTATAGCAATAATCCAGGCAATTAAGCTGTGATATCCTCTGTTTGAGAAAAGAATAAAAGTATGAGAAAGAAGATAAAATTGAAAATGAAAATGAAAATTAAAATGAAAATGAAAATGAAAATGAAAATGAAAATGAAAATAATAATAATAATAATAATAATAATAATAATAAAATAATAATAATAATAATAATAATAATAATAATAATAATAATAATAATAATAATAATAATAATAATAATAATAATAATAATAATAAAAATAATAATAATAATAATAATAAAAATAATAATAATAATAATAATAATAATAATAAAAATAATAATAATAATAATAATAATAAAGAAATGCAAAAAAGAAAAAAAATAACAAACCTCGTTAGATATATCCTTTAACTATAAGGAAATCAATAAATCATCTATCAATCAATCTTTTTACAAGCGCATACTCCTTTACTTTTTTCTTCTTTTCTTTCTTTTTACGCGTATAAAACAAAATAAAAATAAACTTACTCTTGTTCTTTTCTCTCTCTCTCTCTCTCTCTCTCTCTCTCTCTCTTTTTCTTTTTACTAATATGTAAAATTTTATCGATAGATTAATTGCAGTTGTGAAAATAAATGAATAGTGAAAAAGGGAAAAAAGGAATCACGTTTTAATAAAATAGTGTGTTTATCTTCCTAAAACTGTGCGCTTCTCTGGACTGTACTTTTATCATCTTATACACGTTTAGCTTCTTTGCAAACTGATATTACACACGTATGTATATATTCTCTCCTCGATGAGTTTTCGCCTTTTCCTTTCTCTCCCTGTCTCTCTCCTTCTTTCTCACTCTCTCTCTCTCTTTTTCTCTCTCTTTCTCTTTCTTTTTTCTCTCTTTCTCATATCCCTTGCATAGCTCTGTTCGATCTACAAAACATCTCTTTAATCATAAGTCTCAGATTCTTGTTGTACTAATTTATATCGACGAGGACTTTTCACGCACATAGAACCATGACCCTCTAAAGAAAGTCTTCCTTTGCGTTGAAGATATCTTGTGATGTATCGAGCGACCAATATTTGAGGTCGCATCTGCCATTCGTTTAGAACTTCTTTAGGTGCCAATACCTAAAGAAAAAAAAAACAATAAGATATCTTCTATCATTGTAGATATATCTTTGCAATTTTGATAAAGAATCAATAAAACTAAAGCTTATATATCATAACAACAAAAAGTTTAGATATTAATTAATATAATTATTCGTAAATAATAAAGAAAAATAATTAAATAAATAATTAATTCGTATAAAAATAAATAAATTTTTTTTTCCAAATAAAATCATATCAAATCAAGATCATAGTGATCATATAGATCACCTGATCTCCTTTGAGTCGATCCAACAAAGTCACGCTAACTACAACTGATTGAATGCCAGCGTGATGTGCAAGTGCTCCGAACGAGAGACTTTCCATCTCTATATTAATAACACCAGCTTTGTGTATCTTCGTTAAATAATCCATCTTTTCGTTCTCCGTGAATTCACAGAAAGCTCCGTCTAATCTAGCCTGACCTTCGTAGAAATCGTAAGTACACATGGTCTTACCGACCACTGTGTCATAAGGATCATCACGATGAGCCAAAGCTTTTAATTCTCGAATTAATTGTCGATCAAATTTTGCTGGTCTCTTCACTATCTTTCCTAAGACAGGCTAAAAGATAAAAAAGATACATTTTACTTTATCTTATTATTATATATATTTAAATTATATTATATATATATTTAAATATATATTATAATATATTATATAATATATAATTATATTATTATAATTACATTATATATAATTTAAATATATATAAACTACTATATTATTTTATCATAATATTTTATATACATTTTATTTAATATTTTCATTATATATTTTTATATAAATATTATATATATTATATATTGTTTTTATTATTATTATTATTATTATTATTATTATTATTATTATTATTATTATTATACTATACCATTATATTATAATATATATTTATTTATTATGTAAATATTATTAATATCTAAGTAGAATATACTTACCAGTTCTAAATAAGAATTCAACATTCCATCTACAGCTTCGTCAGTAATAACAACAGTGCCACCTTCGAGTCCAACACCACCACAAGTACCGATCCTGAAGAAGATTGGATCCTTGACCTTTGCATGATACATCAGCTTGATAATTTCGTGAAGAAGAATTCCTACAGAAGGAATACCCATTCCATGCTGTTAAATAAAAAGGCAATAACTTAAAGTAACCATGTACGAGAAATGATTTAAAGATGGGGTTCAATACCATTTCATTCTTTTACAATTCACAATATTGTAAAAGAAAAAGAAAAAGAAAAAGAAAAAGAAACAGAAGAAGTAGAAGAAGAAGAAGAAGAAGAAAAGAAAAGTATTGATTCACAAATACGAATCAAATGCAAAGTGTAAGAAGAAGTAAGTTGAATAGGTAACTCTTGGATAGATAAATATCAAAGAATTCGATTTACAAATTGAATAGTCACTTTGATCGAGAATACCATCTTAAACTATTTCGAACAAAATAAAAGACTTTGAACTTTTATAATACATAGTTTTCACAATCGTTGTTGCAGTCTACTGGTATTCATTTGAATGGTCTTCTTTGTACTTTTGTATTCTACTTTATTTCTTTTTCCTTTTTTCTTCTTCTTCTTTTTTTTCCCTTTTACTTCGATCTTACTTTGAGAGAAACGAATAAAATTTTATTTTCTTCGTCGATAAAAAAAACGACGAGATCGAAATGAAAAAAAGGAAGAAGAAACAAAAAATGAAAATATTTGGCGATGATCTTTTTTTTTCTCTCACACGAGAAACATTCAGTATGTACTTACGCTGATTGAAAGCACCGGTCCAACTTTGTACATGCAATAACGATAGGAATACTGGCTGATGTCGAGAAGGGTTGTTCCAGCTGGAATCTTGTGACCTATTTCCTTCATAATGTAATTCGCAAACTGCTCCATACGTTTCGGCGTGCCACCCATGCAAACGAACTGCAAACAAAACGATAGTGAATAGAATGAATACCTTATCGTTTCTCTTGTCGTAGAAAATCGTACCGAAAGTAGATAAATAAAAGAGAGATAAATAGACAAAGAGAGAGAGAGAGAGAGAGAGAGAGAGTGAGAGAGAGAGAGAAAGAGAGAGAGAGAGAGAGAGAGAGAGAAAGAGAGAGAGAGAGAGAGAAAGAGAGAGAGAGTGAGAGAGAGAGAAATAAAGATAGATAAATGAAAAATAAAAAAAAAGAGAAAGAGAGAAATAAAAGAATAAATGGGAAAAAATTATTCGAATGCGGAAGGACAATAAATGAATTCCACTATATGGAAAGACATTTTTCTGAAATTTTTCATATTTTATATTCATTTTGAAATTTGCAATTATACAGTCGCTTTGTAATTTCGTTTTTAATAAAATGACCGATCTAATAATTAGAATAACTTTGTTAGACTCGTATGGTTCGGCCATCGATCGTCTCTGAAAAGAGACATTTTTCAATATTGATCTTCCCAAGGAATATTATATTCAAGGAACGGCGATTCATTCGTTATCACGAGAATTATATTCTTCGGTGAAATCGAAAGGTGTGTTCTTTGAATTTTCACATGATAAAGATAAAGAAAAAGAAAAAAATAAAAGATAGAGGAAAAAAAAATGAAGAAAAAGATAGAAGAAAAAAGAAAAAGAAAAAACGAAGAAAAAGAGTTTCACGATACGACAGTTAATTGCATTGTTAGTATTTGTACGAATGTGATGTTAATCAAAGGAGATTGAAATTTATTTATTAAGTTACAATGGAAATTTCATTTATTATTTAATTTAATCATCCTAATGACGTTCATTTAACAGCTTTTAGCTGAGAATGAATAAAGAGAAATGGAGCATAAAGAAGTAATAGTTTGACGTATGTATATACATATATCCTAATATAATTGAAATATTACAAATATACACATACACATGAATAAAGATTTGTAATTCAGCGTTTAATTTAACTGTGTAATGTCGAAACTTTCGTAAGAACAATTTCTTCGTTCTTTCTTTCTTTCTTTCTCTCTCTTTTTCTCCTTTCTCTCTCTCTCTCTCCCTTTTCCTTTTTTCGTATCTTTTCTCTTTTATATTAAAAATAAAAACTTAGAAGTTCATAAATTGCAATTTGTAAAATTCAAATGGACAATTCAAATGGTCCACAAAATGGACGGAAATTGTGTATTTTTTTTTCTTTCTTGTGTTTTTTTTTTTTTTGTTATTTTATTTTTCTTATGTTACATAGTTTCATCTAGTACGAGTTCATGGCATAATGAATTATCGTAAAATTTCGCAATTCGAGATAAATCCGTTAAACATGTAAATAGACGTCATCAATTCTATTATAAGGAGCAAAGTCCGTATTAAGCGATCAAATATTAAACTCAATCGATTAGGCAATAAATTTGTTATCCGTTTCCTAGATAGCTCTGGATGAAATTATATAGAGAAAATAAGATATATATATATATATTTCTTATGACCCAGTAAATAATATCTTTGAATTTAATAAGATAAGAGCTTTCTTTTCTTTCTCCCTTCCTTTTCTTTCTTTGTTTTTTTTTCCTTTTAAATACGTTCGACGAAACGATTTATCGACTCTGCTTATCGATGGAATTTCATTTGCCGCTAAATAAATCCGGGAATAACAAGTAAGGAGGCAAAAACTAATAGAAAATAAAAAGTGAAACGTAAGGGAAAAAGAGATAAACAAATAAATAATAAGGGATATTTTCACAAGTTGTACTTCAAAAACTAGATCACTTTATCGGTTAATGTTGTTTCTCGATCGATTTGATCGAATAAGATTCACTTACTTCTTTTATCAATAAATTTATGTTTATCAACATTATGTTATTTATGTTTATGAGAATTATCGTTACGTAATAATGACTTAAACAAATAACGAAAATTAAGATACTTGTTAATATCATTCAGAAATGTAAACAATGATGAGAGATTGATTACGCAATTTCGATTAATTAAATTCATGCATATAAATAAATTGAGAAAATTTAATAAAATTATATTATAAAATAAATCGTATTTTCTTTTTTTTTTTTAGAAAGAAAAAAAAAACAAACAAACCATTGAACATATACATACATACGTATGTATACACACACGCATACAAATGCGCCTAATTGTATAATATATATGAACAAAGAAACCGTATAAAATTAATACGAGAAAACGAATGTTACGTGGTGTGTGTGTGTGTGTATGTGTATGTCTGTGTTATATACGTATGATACTATGTTGAAATTTATGTTACCTTAACATCGCCAAACATTTCAACGAGATCATGAGAGCCACTGCCAAGTGCTAAATGATACAATATATCTTGATCCATTAGTTCGATATTTGGATTCCTCAGCCTAACGGAACCATCTCTGTATCTGAAAATTCATCAAATTTTATTATTATTTTACAATCGTTTGTTGTATTTCTTATCGTCATTTTTCAATTTGAACGTAAATGAAAATGATTTAATATTTTCCTTTCCAGCAACGTATCCGTTAAAAATCAAATAAAAGATAAGACATCGATAATCCCTAAACTTAATTTGCAAATACACGCATATATATACATATATTATACAATATACGTATGTGTGGGTGTATCTATCTGCGTGTGGATGTGTGTGTGTGTGTGTGTGTGTTACGATTTTGCTACTATTTTCATTACAAAAGTATGCGTTCATGAGTCAATACCGCTAAGTTGTGCCAACAATGTTTGATTGGTTATAATATCTTTCGATGTAAATAAATATGATGAAATAATATTATAAAAAGTATCATTGTATTAAATAGATCGATAATGTAATATCGAAATTTTCAATATAAAAATAATGTTGTTTATTTAGATATTAAGCATAAAATATTTTCGATATAAAAATAATAGTTATTTTTTTTTTTTTATTCCGATATTATTTATTGGCCAAAACAATAATATATGTATATATTTTATTTATCTTATTTGTTTTCTCCTTCTTTTTCATAATAATTAGAGAAATGAAATACCAAAGAATAAAATAATGAAAGTAAAAATAAATATGGATAAAAATAAATATTCTTTTCTTTTTTGTTATTAATTAATAAAATTAATAAATAGTTTCCTGATCGTAAAGGTAAACTGATATCCGGGGACATGTCTTTGATCCAATTAACTTGAACTTAATTTTCGATTTAAATAAAGGCTTATGGCAAGCCATGGATATATTGATCGACATCGTCGAGTGAAATTTATCGTCGAAACCATAGAAACTGAAGGAACTCGTGTTCAAACGTTACGTTTGATTATTTAACGGATATTTTCAATGACATATAATAAACACTATTTTATCGTTCTTTCTTTTATTTTATTTTCATCATCGAATTTTTTCCTTTAGATCAGATAACAACGAATAGAATGTATAAACAAATAGATGTATGTAATAAACATAAATGACGTAATAAATGTTATTAGATTGCTCCGTAAAATCTATGTAGAGTTACAAAAAATATAATAACATTTAATATGTAATATATATATATATACATAACAATTTAAAAAAAATTATGATAGTCTCTATTTTTTTTTATCATTTATCTATATACACATAAACACATTTAATATGTAATGTAATATATGTTTAATATGTAATATAATATGTGTATATAACAATTTACTATTTCGTTAAATTTTCTATAAAAGAAAAGAATTATCTTTATTTTTCCAATTCTTTTTTATTTTATTACTATTATTTTTGCTTTAATATATTTTTTTTTTTTAATAAGTAGTATAATATTGATTGTTTCTATAAAATTTCTATGCAAAAATGAATCACCAATTCAACATCAATTAATTAATTATTATGATTAGATGTTTAAAAAGAAATTGCTATTGATTAACGCATTGGAGAAATGGGGAAAAAAGAGAAAGAGAGTTTCTTTTTTTCTTTTTAAAGCAATTTTTTTGTTTAATTTTAATCCTTGTTAAATTTCAATATCAATTTGAGGATAAGGCTCGTTCGATTAATCATTTTTATTCTTCCATCAAACGGAATATCGATCACAGAATACAGTTAAATGCCTCTCTTAACTTTACCGAGGTCACGGAAAAAAGTTTTGAGACTTCTTTAATTACTCGAGAGCGAGTTCTCTCTGTTTCAGCGACATTGAAAAACGATCGGAGCGATTTCAAAGGAAAATCGCAATACATGTATATATAAATACATGCATACAATATATATATATATATATATATATATATATATATATATACACACACACAAAAACATATACGTGTATGTATAGATATGTAGATATATATATAATATATTTATAGTACATATACATTTTATATCATATATAACATATATCTGTCGTGTGTATAGACATATAAATGTGTGTGTATATGTGTACACACACACACACATAAATAATCATAAATAAAAGGTGACTCAACACGATAACGATGAACTTGGAATTTTCATTAACATGCGACTATAACGAGAATGATGCATCTAGTAAACTATACAAAACGTTTTAGTACATAAAGCCTTTATTTGTAAGATTAGGTAGATTAAAAAAATAAAATATTAAATATATTTTAAAATATTACCTTTTTTTATTAATGCTTGCCCAATAATCAATTATTGATTTTATATTAAAAAAAAAAAAAAATAAATAAATAAATAAATAAAAGAAATAAAAAGGAAATGAATGACCGATAAGATAGGCATATCATTTTCTATGTTAACACAACATTTTTTATTTATGAAAGATATCAAAAATTATTGCATTGTTAAACGATATTAACAACTCTTCACTTTTTAAAAATAATAAAAAGATACAAAGTTAATTAAACGAGACAAATAAGTACGTCTCGTATTGTTAACTAGGACACCAAGATGAATACGTAAAAAAAAAAAAAAATAAATAAAACTGTGAGCAATATTTTTCTTCCTAAATAAAATACTATAGAATATGTAAGTAAAAAAGTTTTATTTGAAGCATACAGATGCTTCATGACGAACTGTAATCATTTTCAACACAATCATATACTGATATTAAATAAATGCACATACGTATTTGCAGAATATATGTTTCACATATATATAAACCAATCGATCCTTTGACCCTCCCCGTATATGTTTGTGTCCATATATATATATATATATATATATAACCGGATGAACCTTATATCCCCCCTTATCATCAATTACTGGGCATAATTCACCATCCGTTGATCTAAGAATTTTTTCTCTTCATATTGTAGGTATTTCATATATATATGAAATATTGAATATTTTATATATATATATATAAAATAATATACATATAAACTATATGTACAATTATACACAGACACATTGAGAGAGAGAGAGAGAGAGAGAGAGAGAGAGAGAGAGAGAGAGAGAGAGAATACACATACATATACACATAATTAATATTTTTAATTGTAAATATTATCAATATTAATATTCGTAATTTATGAATGTGTTTGCGTTCATTTTTTATTAATCAGCTTATATATGAATGTCCGTCTGTAGATATCTGAGGAAATATCTTGTAACAGGTTGACTTTAAAAGAAAATTTATCAAGAAAATTTTGCATCACTTTTGAGGTAGTTCCAAAATGCATGAAAATGTTTCTTCTTACTCTCGATATTTTTGAATTATAAAAGTCGATAAGTTTCTTTCTCTTTTTTAATTTAATTTAAATAATTTTTTTTATATATTTATGTAATAGTGATTCATATATTCAATAGTGAATTATATCTAATAAAAAATCGGTACTATATATCGTTTATGAAATAATCGGCATTTTAAGAATTAAAGTTAATTTGATTTTTCAAAGCTACAATTTGAAAAACAATCATCATACTACGTAATATTTCAAAGCCGATTACGTCAAATAAGATTATTGATCTTCAATCAAAATCAAAATAAACGACTGTTTAATTAGTAAATAATGTATCTGTATAGCATGGAGTATGAATTAGAGCATAGTGTGATTGTAGTCAGTCGCTACGATACTAATTATTTTGTAAACAATGCATAGTAGCAAATTTTTACTTGATATAATTTTGATTGCAAATATAATATAAATATTCAAAAAAAAGAATGGACAGTCACTGTATATATATATATACACACACACCTGCGCCCACGCACGCATATACGAAGTATATAAACAACGCATAGAAGCAATTTTTTACTAGATGTAATTTTGATTGCAAGTACAATATAAATATACAGAAAAGAAAAAATAGCCACTGTATATGTATGTTGTGTATTTATATATATATATATATATGAAAATAAAAAAAAAATTACTATAATGACCCTACCTAACAGCACTGTTGTTTGGATAATCAAATTCGTCATTATCGTTACTTTGTTTATCCACGGATGAATTTAACTGACACTTGTGATCATTCTCTTCTCCGTCTTTCAAATTTCTTTCACAGGTACAAGTAGGCATCTTGTAATTTTTCTTTTTCAATTTTGTCTTCTTTTCCTATTAGAACTAAAAACCGGTACGCAGTCCGTCCGTTCGGGAATAATCTTGGAATATGTTCTATTACGCTTCGAAGGGAACCTTTATACTTCTCCCGTCTTTCCCACCACCACTATCAACGACACTGGCACATACAGACCTCTCTTCTGATACTGTCGATTCGCTGCCAGCAGACATTTTCTATACATATACGTTTTTATATATATACGTTTTGCATATATATATATATATATATATATATATATATACTATGTGTATGAACATAATACATACATATAAATATATATATATATATATACATACATATATACATATATACATATATATACACACAAACACACACATATATGTATATACAATACGGGTACATACAAGAACGCAAAATATTTTTTACTGAAACAAATTCATGCATTAGAAATATATCGTCTCTTTTGTCTGTTGCGTTATCGTTACGTTACGTTTCACATATGCATACAAGTATCTAGATATATACATATAGACTTACATATATTACGTATATACTATATAACATATATATATATATATATATATACAATACATATATATCACATATATATATATATAAGTATAATCATCCTTATTGTATTCCTAAGAATAATATGACTTGTTATTGATCTGTGGATTGATTGTTTTTCTTTTCGATTAGATATGAGATAACGTATCCTTTTTTCTCCCGACTCGATCGATAGATCAGATATTAGAAATTTTATCATAATTATCGTATAAAACGCGAATCAACTCATTCTAATTCTAATTTTGAAAATCAAATGATTCTTGAATTTACTTTCAACGATTTTAAAATTCATTCATTGTAGTGTCTGTTAGTTCAAATGAAAATTTAATCCGAATCAATTTTGAAGGATCTATCACGGGCCATCGCTTTTTGCTATCCTTGAAACACACGAATCGTCGATTGGATTTGCTTTTGACGGTTTGAAAAATTTCCCAGGACAAATCGATCTTTACGGCCTAGTAAAGATCCAGTTCGAAGGGAGACAAAAAGAGAGAGAGAGAGAGAGAGAGAGAGAGAGAGAGAGAGAGAGAGAGAGAAAGAAAAAGAGGGACAGAAGAAAACTGGCGGAGATTCTACAGTTTTTTCTTTCTTTCTCTATCTCTGTTTCTCTCTCTATCTTATTTTCTATATCATTTCATAGTTTTAAATGTAAGTCGATAAAAGACGTCAAGCATTTAAAAAAAACTTTTCTTCTCGCATGTTCCCCCCCATAAAATGGAATGAAAAATTGTCGATTCGTATCAGTTCACAATTATATGTGAGTATTTACAAGAAACTTATCACATTTTTTATTACATTTCCTTATCGAAAAAAAAAGATCTATTTGATAAGTTCATAATAACGTAATAAGAAATATTGATGTATAATATTAAATATAAATTTTTCTTCTTCTTTCCCTCCTCCCCCCATAATAATAATTAAATAAATGAAAATTAAAAATAGAAAAGAAGAGTAAAAAAGAGGAAGAAAAAAGAAAGAACGTTTTTCCTATACTTCGTTAAATTTATTCCATCTTCTTTTACGATCTCATATGCTCAATAAATGATATGAATTTTGTTCACGTGCTAGCAATAACTCTAAAAGAAAATTATGTATCAAATATGCCAGCCAACGACATCGTAGAAAAAAGATATATGTAGGTAGATCGATTGGAGGGAGAGGTTTCGAAGATCTCGTTTTATATATTCGAAAAACTTCTCTCTCTCTCTTTCTCTCTTTATCCCTTTCTTCCTTTCATTCTATTTCTTTACGACCAACATTTTTCCTCGTATTTACGAGACTACATTGCTCCCAACAGTATTCTCGAGAGAGAAAAAGTAAGAAAGGATATTTCACAGTTTTTTTTAACTGAATCCGGATAGTGATACACCACCATAAATGGTAAAGTGAGCTAAAGTGAGTGGCAAGTAAATTGAACATCGATTCAAAACTAGTCTCTCTCTCTCTCTCTCTATCTATCTATCTATCTATCTATCTATCTATCTATCTATCTATCTATCTATCTATCTATCTATCTATCTATCTATCTATCTATCTATTTATATGAGACCAGTAAATACAAGTACGAGAAGACGTCTCGTAAATTAGAAATTTCTTGTGTTTTTCTAGCATATTTTAATATATATCGATCGTTCCTAAGGATCTTAATAATAAATTTTATTGTCTTCGATTAAATCGACTCTCGAAATCGTAAAAAATATTGTTCGATAAACGAGCAATGTTCATAGATTTCTTTTTTCTGATAATATCTACGATTATCGTATATATCTTGTGAAAGAAATTGTACACGCTCTTCTACTTTCCTTTTTATTTTTTTTTTCTTTTATTTTTTTTTTTTTATTTATTTATTTATTTCTTTTTTTTTTCTTTTATTTCTAACTTTACACATGCTTCGCGAAGCGCAACGAATATGATCTTGTAAACTTCCTGACTTCTACGTTGTTTATAATCTATTCCAAATGTGATGTAGTTATATTTATTCGAATATATTATTTCGAATGATTTCGAATAAATATTAATAAATATTCGAAATCATTCGAAAGATTTTTGTATGGGCATAGATTGGAGATCATAATTTTCTTTTTTTTTTTCCATCATTTATCGTAAAAAACATACATATAACGAATAATCAATAAGAATTCGATTTTTGTCAAATATTTTGGATCTGAAAGATTCTCTCTAAGACTGGAGACTTGTATTGTTTACTGTTTAGGATTTTTATAAATATTGGAGATTAATTTTGTTTATTATTAACGATTTTTTTGTAAAAATCGGGCATTTACATCTTTTGAAATTCGCAGAATACAACGAGAAATACATATGTATCTAAGAATTATCAGGCTTATATCACTTCTTACGATTCGAAGAATTTTACTAAAAATTAGAAATTATTATGTTTTGTTTTTTATATCATACCGTAACGAAAAATGAATAAAAATTCAATTTATGAGATTCATGATCTGAAAAATGTTTACAAAAATTAGTAAATAAGTATTTTTTTATCATTTACAATAACGAGAAAAGTATACGTACATATATATATATAAAGACGCACGCACGCACATACATATACATACACGTGTGTGTGTGTGTGTGTGTGTGTATATATTTGATAAAAAATTTATTATTGTGCTTCTTTGTCACGAGCGTGATTCGATAGTAAATGATTTAGAACCAAATCAAAATTTATCAGATTATTTAATTTATTTTCTCAATTTATTTATTCCAAAGAAAAAATTCTTCGATAAGTCCTTCAAGATTTTAAAGAGTCATTTATCCTCATCTTAAGAAAAATTACGACAGAATATCATGACATGAATTCATGAATAGAAGAAAATGAACGTATACACATATACATATTATTTAAATACATATGTTCATGGATGCACGTCTAATGGTTACTATTACGTCATTTGAGATAAAAGTCTATTACACAATAGAAGATTGTGAATCTGGAAATTCCTAAAATTATGAAACTTAACAAGTATGTAAAAAAAGAATTTCCTCTTGAGTAAAACGTTTTTATTATTATTATTATTATTATTATTATTATTATTATCATACTATTCGTTTGTAATTTAGAATAATGAAAACTCCCTTAAAGTTTCGATCTTTATTTTCTTCTTCTTCTCAAAAAGTTGTCATAAATATCGATTTATTAGAAAAAGTTTTTAATATGTATCTATATTTTATCCGTCGATTTTCATTGACACTCGAAAAATAAATAATGATATTTAAAATTTTTTTATTACCTATCAACAATTCAAAAGAATCTACGAAGTTATTAATTTGAAACAATGAAAATTTAATTAAAATTAAAATTCATTAGAAAATAGGAAAATATTCCGTATACTACGTATTTATCGTCGAATATTAATTATCAAATATACGGGTAAGCTACTTATGCTTAAGCGTTGTTATAAATATAAAACTTTATGTTATATATTTATCAGAACGTTCGTAATACAATATACTAATATCGTAATAAAGTATGTTACATAATCTCTCTATTTTTTCTTTTTTTATCTTATCCAACACAAAAAGATTAATGCGTGATTCGAATATTAATTATTAAATATACTATCTAAGCTGAAATAATTTATGTATATTTATTAAAAATGTCTGTAATAAATGTCTCTTAAGATAATTTCTTTTTCTCTTTTCTTTTTCTTATACTTAATACAAAATATTAATATGTGAGAATTAATGTCGATGATATTAAAAATGTTAGCATGAAATAGATATGTATTTACACAAATAAATATTCTGAAAGGATATTTTATATTTTACAAAAAAAAAAATAAAAAAAAAATAAAAAAAAAAATAAAAAAAAAAAGAAATTAAAAAGAAATAAATAAAAAGAAAGATGTATTTAGATTACGTATTACCTCGTAGTTCATTAACCGTATTACTCGTGTTCTAACGTTCGACAGAAAAAAAAATCCGAAGAGATATGGCATGCAAAGCCTTTTTTTTTTTTAGGTATGTCGGTCGTGCCTTTAATGGAACTTGATAATACTTTGAATTTTACGACATTCTGATCCATTGGAATTAAGGAAAGCGCCATCATGGCTCGAGTGACCTATGACCTAATTTTCAAGCATAAGAACGATGAATACCGTTTGATCCATTCTCTTCTTATTTTTTTTCTCTTTATTTTTTTTTTTCTTTTTTTTCCTTCTTTCCGCCACCCTAGTATCATATTTATTATTAACATAATATGACACTCGTTTGTGGAAACTCATTTGCAATCTTTTTTTAGATGAAAAGTAAACTAAAATTAGTATAAAAAAAATAAAGTAATAATAATATGAAGGAAAATAAGGGGATGTAAAAAAAGATTCAAAACATAATTCGAGAAATTATTACTTGTTATTTATTACTACTTATTAATTATCAACTAGAGAGATAGATAGATAGATAGATAGATAGATAGATAGATAGATAGATAGATAGATAGATAGATAGATATATATATATATATAGAGAGAGAGAGAGAGAGAGAGAGAGAGAGAGAAAATCGACTCGAGTAAAAGCAATTAAATCTTTCATTTCAAAAATCCAATGAAAAATACTGTGTGACAGGAGAATCTCACGA